TAAAGAATTTGTGGCATTACTTTATGAGTTCAGCTGAACTCAGCTAATCAGATTTTGCAGAGTGCATTGCTGTGGCAGAGATGAACCTTAAGCAGGTTTGACTTCAGGTATATGGTACTTGCTTATGCTGCTGATAGTGCTGATATGTCACCTCTATGTTGTCTGTACTTAGGCCGATTGCTGGACATCCTCCACACCAAGGGCCAAAGGGGCTATGTAGTTTTCTTAGAGAGCCTGGAGTTTTACTACCCTGAACTCTACAAACTGGTGACAGGGAAAGAACCTACACGGAGATTTTCCACTATTGTTGGTGAGTAGAATCAATCACAAAGGAGCCTGTTGAGGTAAGGACTATCCTGAAGACTAGGTTTGCTTTTTTTCAGGCAATAAATGGAAATAAAAGTAAATTTTGTAGTAGTATTCTGCTGTTTTTCAGTCCTCTTCAAAGCAAAATGTGGTAGCAATGGGTAATGTATACAGGGAAGGAACATCTCAGTTGTACAAATGAAGCTAAAGAACTTCCAATGGAATGAGAGGCATTACCAGAAATATGAAGAGAAGGACCACTGGAGCAGTGGACTAAATTACACTGACATACACATGTGCAGCACTTTTGAGGAAATCAAATTAATTGTACAGATTCATTTTACAAAGTTTATGCCATATCCACAGGTTTGACTGAAACAAGGCAAAGGCTTTACCTTCTATCCAGCAAGCTGTGTGCAGGTGCATTGAATCTGCTACCAGTGTGCTGTGTAATATTTGTACTGTTGCTAGTTCAATACACAAATTTGTATGAACTTCTGCATATTCTGCACCTCTGTACAAATTCTGGGCCATTTGTTTCTTACTTAGTTGTGCTGATCCTACTTATTACCTAATTAATAAGTAACATAAGTAAGATACTTCATTAGATGTTGATAATCTGTCCAAACATTTTCAGTGGAGGAGGGACATGAAGGCCTTACCCATTTCCTAATGAATGAGATCATTAAGCTTCAGCAGCAAGTGAAGACGAAAGATGTGCAGCGCTGTGAGCTCTTGGCTAAGTCTCGCCAGTTGGAGGATGAGCGAAAGCAGCTAAAACTGAACAAGATTGAGCTTCTGACCTTTCAGGAGAGATACAACAAGATGAAGGAGGAAAGGAACAACTACAACGATGAGCTGGTCAAGGTGAAAGATGAGAACTACAATCTGGCCATGAGATATGCCCAGCTGAGTGACGAGAAGAGCATGGCTGTGATAAGGAGCCGAGACCTCCAGCTAGAGGTGAGATAAATGCTCTGGGGTGCTCTAATCAGGTGCAGCAATGGAGGCTGACAATGGCATCTGGCAAAATGAGACCTTCTCTGACAGCAGAAAGGTGTAGTGCCCTTTTGCTTTGCTTACCCATATGATTAGAGACATCACTGTACAGAAATGCCAACTGCAGAGATGTGTATTAATGGCAGATAATTTACAAACTTGTAAGGAATCAACACAAGTTAAAATATAATTTCAAAACCATAATTGCTTGTTAAAAACCCATAATTTTAGCTTTTCAGGCTCAGTGATATCTTGGTAGTTATCCAGGTTTACACTGCAGCTGCTGGGGGTTTATCCACAAAGTCTCAAACAGAGCACTGCAATGGGTTGAGGTAATCTAGGCAATAGAGAAATGCTTCAAGTGCCATAGAATTCATGCTGGTGTGCATGTCACAGATGAGATGGAGTCAACAACTACCCATAGTGGATGTTGGGATTTAGTTTTGAACCAATGTTATCTGACATTTTACATCAGACATTACTTTGTCTTTTTTGGGAACCTCTCTTTCCTCTCCAGAACTCAAAGCTCCTGTTTTTCCATGCAAATAGTCCATGTGCAAAAATCACAATGAGTGATCAGCCTCCAAAGTGTTAGTTCTGTTTCATATTTATTGGAGAATTAAGGGTGTGCCACTTGTTTTTAGTTCAGATGTTCTAAAAATTCACAACCAGCCCATACAAGCTGTAGCTAGCAAGTAGCAGGTTTGTGCTTTGAGAGTTGAGCAGTTCAGTTGTGGACATTAAACACTCACATACACCCAGTTATTTGCTCCTTGTTAGCATTCAGAGTTTCAGTTGCTTTTTCCATCTATGACTGTTTCCACCTGGAAGTGAGAGTGTTTTCAGAGCAGCATCAGAGCTAGGAACGATTCCTTTGCTTTCCTCTTTGTCCTTTGCACCGCTCCCTTTCTGCTCTAGATTGACCAGCTGAAGCATCGCTTGAACAAGGTGGAAGAGGAATGCAAGCTGGAGAGGAACCAATCGTTGAAGCTGAAAAATGATATTGAAAACCGACCCAGAAAGGAACAGGTTCTGGAGCTGGAGAGGGAAAATGAGATGATGAAGACTAAAATCCAGGAGTTACAGTCCATCATTCAGGTATAAAAGCAGGCTGCTCCATTTAAAATTCCAAACCTTTCAGCTTGCCCCTCCTGCTTGCCCAGATGATGAATTCAGCAGGCTTAGACCACTCCTTGGCTCCAGGCACCCCCACAGTCTCCTTCCATCCTATCTCACATGCCCCACATCTCCTCACAGCCTGCCTTGGTGTCTGTGCTTTGGGATCTAAGTGTCTGGGGGAGGTTGGGAGAGTGCTGACAGCTCCCATGTGTTTTCAGCAAGAGACATGGAGCTGAGTGTATAACAGGAAAACTGCTACCTATGGACAAGAGGAGGTGGCATGGTCTGTGCTACTTCTCCTCACCTCAAGCTCACACATACTCCTGTTATAATGCAGGAAGTGTTGGCTGAAACCTGTACCTGCAAAGCTACAACAAGCGTAAGCACAAAGTTTGGATGAACAGAAGGTTGGTTGTACAGCTCCCAGCTGTCTGTAGTGCTCCTTGTACAAACACTTGCATGAGAAGAAGTTCTACCCAAAAAAGTAATCTAATAAATCAAGTGTACATGAGAGATTGGCTCTTCTAAGGTGCAGTGTGCAGCTGTTCAACTGCTGAACATTCAGCTCCATGGTTTAGCCCTGCTGTGGTTCTTTGTACCAACCTGTCACTGCAAAGCTGTGTTAAACACCCAGCACAGAAATTTTTGGCAGTGGCTCTGTGTACCTTCTTTTAGGCTGTTGTCATATCTGTGCCAAAAGGTCTAAATGAAGCAGAGGGTAATAAAGGTTCCTGTACTTGGGAGGTCACTAGGTACCAAGATGCTGCTGTAACTTGCACAGGGATCTTATCTAACCTGTGTTTGGGCAGGTAGGGAAAAAAGATGATATGCAGCAAATTTAGCACTCCTCTGTGAAGAGCTTAGCCAAATGTTAGGATATATGTGAGACTACTTAGCACTTTGTTGGAAAAGGCTTGTGGCATTTTAAAATGACACTTAAAAAGTGATCAATAGAAAGCCTTTCAGCAATGGCTGTTGCCTCTAGCAGTGCTAATGATTCTTAGTTCTAACACAAACCCAATTCAAAGGTTGAAAAAGGGTATAGTATAGAAGTTTCTGGGAGTTCTGGTCCATGTAGAATCTCTTACATTAATTGAAATGGTCTTATAGCACTTAAAGAAACAGAGAAATAATAATGAAATAGCTAAAAATAGGATTGAAATTCTCCTAAGGGAAAGTATAAATAAACTCAAGGCAGTTTGTTTTAGAAATGCTGAGGTATGCTTAGAAATATTGGATAATAAAAACGTCCCTGAAATCTCCAACTTAGTCTAGGTATTTCAAAAATAAATATGCATATTCCTTGCTGGTATTTTATACTTTTTTCTTCTTTCCATTTATGGTTAATTTTGGATGGGAATTTATGTGTTGAAACCTGCTCTGGCAATCTTGTTAATCTTCAATCTGAAATAAATAATATTGCTGGACAGTACAGAAAATGAAGTAGTGGTACAAGCTACTCCAGGTATGTTTAATATTCTCAGAGCACAGCCCTGCAAAGCCTATGCATGCTTTAAAAATTCCCCTGAATGTTTTCTTAGGCCCTGCTCTGTGGCAAAGGGTGATTTTTGTGCTCAGTGAGAGCTGATTAATAGAGAAGAATTTTGAATGCAGGACTTGGGGTGAAGGATTGTCACAGCATCCAAAATGGATCGAATTATAGCCAGTACAATAGACCAGTAAAACAGTTCCTTCATCAGGCTGTTCTGACAGCAAGACTGACTTTATTCATCTTTTCTGACACTGCTTTAAAATATGGACAAATGTCCATCTCTTCTCCTGCTTTCCCCTTGCAATACCTTGTTCATTTTCTGTTCTTCTTGCTTGTTACTGTCTCTGTTACTTTTCTGCCTGTAACACTGTTCTCTGTTTCCCTGGCCTGTCTCTTCACAATGCTTTTCCCTCAGGCTGGCAAGAGAAGTTTGCCAGACTCGGACAAAGCAATTTTGGATATCCTGGAACACGACCGTAAGGAGGCACTGGAAGATCGGCATGAGTTGGTCAACAAGATCTTTAATCTCCAAGAAGAGATTCGTCACGTGGAGGACTTGAGAGACAAGGTGAGAAAGGGAAGGGTGGAGAGATGGAATATCTCAGGTTAGTGCCCAAAAGGCCTGTGAGAACAGTGGTGGTTAACAGTGTGTCATTTCCAGTATCTTGAGGAGAAAGAAGATTTGGAGTTAAAGTGTTCAACACTAGGAAAAGACTGTGAGATGTACAAGCACCGTATGAACACTGTGATGATACAGCTAGAAGAGGTGGAAAAGGAGCGAGACCAGGTACCTAACAGTTATAGTGGGGGAAATTAGTAGCAAAAGGGCTGTATCTCCTCTGTGCCACTTTGGGGAATTGTGGGTAATTGGGCCCAAAATGCCATTATAAAATAAGCAGTTAAAAGAATTACTTGTTGGAATTTGCATTACAGTAATTAAACATAGGATAATATTGGGCTGTTTCCACAGTGTAGCATCTGGCAGGCAGGACCAAGATCTTAACAACAGCTATTGCAGCTTTATGTTAGTGTCAAGTCACCCACTTTGCACTCTGGAGCATTTTGGCACCAAGCAAGAGGGAGCTCTAAATGAACCACCCTCATCATCATAATTTTTAATGGTGCTACTGTGGCACATCCTGGTCCTAACTGCTGTTTTATTGGTAACTGGTTACCAGTGCTGAAGTCCCCGTTGCAGATACCTCCCAAACAAAACCAGCAGGAGAAGTGCCTGGTGCCCAGGTGCAGAAGAGGTTTCTTGTCTCCACTGCAGGCATTCCGCTCGCGCGACGAGGCTCAGACACAGTACTCACACTGTCTGATTGAGAAGGATAAATACAGGAAGCAGATTCGAGAGCTGGAGGAGAGAAATGACGAGCTGCGGATCGAGGTGGTTCGGAAGGAAGCCTGCATCGTCAACCTGGAGTGCAAGCTCCGCCGCCTCTCCAAGGACAATAACTTTCTTGACCAGGTAGGGCTGAGAAAGATGGACATGAGTCCTTTCTTTTGCTTTTAAAAACATTTTGATGTAGAAGGGAGAGGGGATGTTTTTGAATTCCTTCCATGAATTAACTAAAAATAATAATCTCCTCCTAAATGGTGTGATCTCTCTGGTACAGTGAGGTTCAGGTTGTCTGTGGTGCACGTGGCTCCCCAAGGGCTGGCATTGCACAACTTGGTGTTAAATGGAAGGGAAAGAACTGCAGAAAACCAATTTTTCTACCCTGGGGTAAAAACTACAAATACTTTCAATGAACATTCCTCAGTGAACAGAAATCCCCACAAATCTCAGTCTAAATTATTGATTTGAGTCTGGAGCCACTTCCTGCATGAGCTTCTGAAGCGCTGGAGCCACAGCAAGTTCAATCAGATGACTCTAAAGGAAGGTCATGAGTTGTGCCAAACTGGTCTCAGAAGTAAAGTGTTTCCTTGTGATCTTTAGAGTTTGCCACGGAATCTACCCATTACCATTATCTCCCAGACCTTTGGGAACTCTAGCCCCAAAGCCAATGGTCAGGAAGGAGAGGATGACTCCACTTCTGAAGACTCTCCAGAAGACAACAAATTCTTCTTGCCTGATCAAGCTCGCCTCAAGAGAAGACTGAATCTAAAGGGAATCCAGGTGTGTCTGAATATGAGGCTGGAATGATATGGAGCAGGCACTGTTTGAACTAACAGGCAGAACACTAACAGAGCAGGGCAGACCATGTTGTGGTTGTGCCTCTGAAAGTTCTGTGTTGTAAAGATAAGATAGATTTGTGTATGATAGTGAGCTGTCAGTTTTTGCCCTGTGGTGATCTGCATCTCGAGGAGCAGATAAAATCAGGCTTCATAGACCTTTTTCTGTCCCTTCTCCCCATTTTGTGTTTTCTCCTTGCTCCTGCTGTTCATTCACATTCTTGCAGCGTTGTCAATAAATTGATTCTTCGCCTCCTTAACATTAGTGGGGAAAAAAAATGACATAATGCCTGAGGTCCAACACATGCTGAAGGTGAAAAATGAAACATTGGTGGAAAAGCTCACATCAGTTGGAAGGAAAAATAGAAAGAAACGGGCACAATCTAGAGCAAAATTAAGTGTCTAATTTAGAATTAAATTATGGCAATTTCCTCTCCCCTCAGAGGAAGGGTAGCATGAGTTAGGTTCATGATTTCCCCGACAAGCTGCATTCACACAGCTATTATCTGAGGCTATATTCATGAATTGCAAAAGATATAAAATCTAACATTCAGGGGTTTGAGGTTCTCCTTCCTTTCATCTACATTTGAATTCTCCCTGCCCTTCACAACCTTTCTGAGCTCTGACTGTCATTATTACTTATGGCAATAGAGCTGCATTTTTCACATTGCATACTCCAAAAGGATGCCTGTTGTATGAACTACTGCCTGAAACCAGTCCCAAAGCACCCACTTCACCTTTTGTCTCTTTATTCCCACACTGGATTCTGGGAATTGCAATGCATTTGGGCCAGACCTTCAAAAGTAGTCAGATCAACTACCCCATCACTGCTGTGGCATTTAGAGACCTAAATATCTCTAAAATTTTGGGTCCTGTTGTGTAAAGGAGGGGAAATATATTGCATCATAATAGTGAAAATAATGGTGTGAAAATATCTGGTTTACAGTGTGTGCCAAATATTCTGCATTTGTGCTGATTTTTGTCCTCTCTCTTTTAGATAAGTCCAAGAGCTAAATCCCCTGTCAGCATGAACAAAACATCAGAGTTTCAAGGTCAGAAAGAGCACCCATGTCCTTATTCCTTTTCCATTGTTTTGTCTCATTCACTTAATCTCTTTAAGTTGTTTTAACAAATATGTCAACCAGGGACATTCTTAACTAAGTCCAAGTCAGTAAAATAGACAGTTTCTCTCATAGTTACCAATGTCATAACTTAAAGTAGTCAAGTGTCCTACCCAAATGTCTTCTCCATCCAAATACAGCTCCATAGACACATGATATTGCATCCCAAACTTATGTAAATTTTCTGTTTACGCATTTTTTCTTTCATTTACCAAAATTCTAAAGTCATTTGTGTAACATCTGTACTAAAAGTCATTGTACCATTCTCTTTTTGCTGTTGGAAAAATCATTCAAGCTGAAAAGACCCTAATCTTGTGATTGTCTAATGAGTTCCTTTGTCCTTCAGCAGAAGGGAATTAATTTTAAATCTAAAGCATTGCAAAGGCTGGGGGAGGGGGATTGACCCACCCATCAAGCAGCTGCCAAGCTACCAACTTCATTGCTGTACTTGTGTTTGAGCTACTCCTGTTTCTGTAACGCTGTTCTCAAACCAAACACCATCACAGACAGCACTTCCTTTAGTCATTATGTGCAGCACTGTGCTCCCTGTTGTACAAAACATGATGAGAAACATGATTCCTGCTCCAAGGTATTCCATGTTAAACAGCAGGTTTGGTATCAGGTGATGTGCAACATCAGTTCAAATCAGAGGTGCTGAGGAAGGGAAGAGTCCACAATTAACACTGTGCTACCTGAGGCTGCTGAGGTGTCTCAGGCTTCTTGGTTCCTGTTGGAAGCTTCTTGCTGTAAAAAAGTATAATTTGATGAGCCAATCTTCTTGCAGATTGCCAGATTCAGGTGATGAAGTTAAGACATAAATTAATGAATTCTTTCATTGGTCATAGAGCATCCATAGAGTTATTTTAAATGTACAGGACAGGGTTGAGGGTACCTGAGGCTGCTGAGGTGTCTCAGGCTTCTTGGTTCCTGTTGGAAGCTTCTTGCTGTAAAAAAGTATAATTTGATGAGCCAATCTTCTTGCAGATTGCCAGATTCAGGTGATGAAGTTAAGACATAAATTAATGAATTCTTTCATTGGTCATAGAGCATCCATAGAGTTATTTTAAATGTACAGGACAGGGTTGAGGGGCAAAGTAGGCAAGAGTCTGTCCAGAGCAGTGGGTGTTTCTGTGTTTTGTTGGAAGCTGATGGTGAAAGAAAGGGAACCAGAGCTTCAGGGCACAGAGCGTGTCCTGGGCCTCTGTCCAGTACAGGGCAGGGGAAACAAGACCAGCTGCAATGGAAAGATGAGCTAAGTATTGTTGCTCATTTGTGGAAGTCTCTGTATTGCAAGTGATCTGATGTAATTTTCTCTGTATGTGTTCTGTGTCTGAGTGCAGCAGTCAGAGCACAGGATGAAGATGGGGCTGATGCCAGCAACGGCCGCACAGACACGAGTTCCTCTCTTTCCATCAGCAACTCCATCAGCAGCTGTGAAGTCAGCAAGATTGTAAGAAGCCTTCAGATACCCCTTGCCTGTCTTGGACTGTCTCTCCTAACGTGCTTCAGAGTTTCACAACCCAGTATCAGCACTGCCCTGGCATCCCAGCTGTGATCACATTCAAGGCTCTTGTCAGAGCCTCCCTTAATCCTTTTATCAGCATTTTGTTTGAACCATGTTATTAGCCTTTTCCACAATCATAGAATTGGTTTATGTTTATTTAAAGGTATTTCAAAGGTATTTATGACCTCTCGCTGTCTCCTTGTGCTGCTTCACGTTTACTGTTAGAAGAAAGAGATTTGCTTTAAAAGCTGCTTTGTAACTTAGTTGAGAAAATTTTAAGCTCTCTTTTTTTTTCTGAGTTCTCTAAAGCTTTACCTGTCTATAAGTAACAGCAAGTGAGAAGAGGGGTGCAGATCACAGTTGGAAATTTCTGCATACCATAGTCAAACCATTTCTTCTCTGCTTGCTGTATCCCCATAATCTCCCAAGGTAGATATTCCATTATACATATGTGAGCACTGGCACAGCAGGACGAGCAGACAGCGAGTGCTCTTGCAGAGTGTTAATAACAAAGAACAAAACATCTTTCTAGAACACTGTGAAAACTGCTGCCCCCAGGAAATTAAAATTATACTCAAGAATGGCCAGGAAAGAACTCCCTGCTACTCGTAATAAGCTTAGCTGGGTTAGGAATATCCTTTGGAGTATCTGTTGAATGTTTAGATGACTTATACTGTCTTCCCTCTGGTACAACTCAGGGTTTAGTTTGCAGTGTACTGGGAGATTAATCATTTAATGTATGGAGATCTTTTTCTTCCTCATTCTGCTTTTCATCCTCTTCCTCCTGTGTCAGCTGTGCAACACATGCACCACACATCAAGGGTAAAGTTGAAATGGTTTAGTAAATCAGGCAGTCCTGTGGTCACAGGAAAAGGTACAGTGCCAGCAGACAGGCTGGAATATATGGATGTTCTTGTATGTAGCATTCTCTGCAGTTAGAATCCATTTTTCTTGCTGTCGTGTGTGCTTCACAGCTTCACTAATGCTGCTGTGGGTTAGAAACGAGAGCACATTTCAGACAGATAACCTTCCTGACACCTTTTTGGTTTTTGTTTCAAGCAAACCCTGAGAAATCGCAACGACAGTATCATGTCCACCACTCCTGAGCCTCCAGGAAACGACTCCATAGTGCGGCGCTGCAAGGAGGATGCTCCTCACTGCAGGTAGGTCACCACACTGCAGAGCCTGCTGTCACAGGGAGGAGGTGGAGAGGGCTGCAGGTGTCCTTGTGTCTGTCTCTAGTTGAAGAGCTCCTTCTATTAGACAGCAGGATTAACTTGCTTAAACTTCTCAAGGCTGCAGTCCTTTGTCCCACATTTTGTCCGAAACACTCCGGAGTCTCTGACGGTTCAATGAATGACACTACCACTGCAACACTGACTTTTTAATGTACACAATAAGGAAGTACTGAAATGACCAGGCACCAATGTCCTTGGAGAAAGTGTTCTACCTTCACAGACTGGTGCAGCTTCACTTTTTGCTTCTCAGCTCCATGCTGCTCGTGTCTGTCCTTTCCTCTTCACTCAAAGCCCTTTCTTCTGCTCTGTAAGCTGCCAAAATAGAGCAGAGTGCAACACTGACTTTTTAATGTACACAATAAGGAAGTACTGAAATGACCAGGCACCAATGTCCTTGGAGAAAGTGTTCTACCTTCACAGACTGGTGCAGCTTCACTTTTTGCTTCTCAGCTCCATGCTGCTCGTGTCTGTCCTTTCCTCTTCACTCAAAGCCCTTTCTTCTGCTCTGTAAGCTGCCAAAATAGAGCAGAGCTGCTTGAACGTGTGTGAGGAATGGAGAAGTGGAGGAGGGAGGTGGTTTTTGTCAGGCTCAGGGCTCTGTATCTCAGCATAGCAATGAAGGGAGAGAGAGAGAGAGACATTGCCCTCGGCTTCACCTTTTGAAACTTCTGTCGGGTCATGGCCCTGTGGACTTCCCCTGGCAGTGAAATCAGATCATCTGGCAAGTGGGAAGCCAGTGACAGGGAGGAGAGAGACCTCTCCTGCCTCACAGTTCTCTAAAAGGCATTGACCCCTTTTCTGAAAGGTTTATGGCAATGGGATACTTGGACATACTCTGTTGGTGTTGGTGTCAATAGCATCAGTGTTTCTATCAGAAGATACAAATACATTCCCTAAAGGTCCCAAGCAGAAGGAGAAAAGAACAAAGCAAACCAACTGAGAAGAAAGCAATATATGTGGAGGGTTTAGATCTTTATTAAATTTATTTTTAATATCTAATCTTTATTACACCTTCATTCAGATTTGTATGTTTTTCAAAATAAATTATTTTGGGCAGATTGCCACTTCTCCCTCTCACCCTGCAAAGCTTTGCAAGACAGATTTCCACTGAAGGTATCCTCAGCTGGTTCTCCCATGTAATTTTCTAGGCTGATGAGGATTTAGGCAGTGTTTATTCTGGTCTCCCTTAGCTTCTCTGATATTGTCCTCCAAGTCCCTTTTTAAAGTATGTTCTATTAATTCAAGATGGAGAAAAAAGGTTGTTTTATTAATGATTTGAATGTTTCGTGTTTCAGGTGCTTGAGAAGCCTTTGGCATGCCTGAACTTTCCAATATTTGCAGTGTTATTACAGAACACAGTAGAGATTACATGGAGATTATTCATTTTGTGGATTTTACTGTAGCTCTGAGTATATTCTGTTCCATACGTTAAGGCATTGGAAGACTGAGTTGTAGTGAAAACTGAAATTGTTCCTCATATTAGATACTCTTTC